TTGGGGGGGGGGGAGTGGGGGGGGGTGGGTGTGGGTGTGGGTGTGGGTGCGTGGTGTGGCTGTGAGTATTGAACAGTCACAACCACACCCACACCCACCCTAATTAGCACATAGCATTATCTATCAAGTTTTCTAAAAATGGCCAGCATCAGACTTAGCAGAAATCATTACTCATATTACGCTGATTCTGAATAAATATATAGATCTTAATATATGACCAATTTATAGAAAAATATTCACACGGTGCATTTAGAAATAACCATTATAAGTCAAGCGCATTCGTTTCATCAGTCAGTAGATCATGGAATCGGAAGAAATCTTCTTATAGAAAACTACATAATATTTTGATAAAAAAACTATGTTTAATGGGAACCTCTTTAAAGAAAAGTTAGATGTATATTGTAACTACTATCCATTTCAAAATAGAAAATGAGTGAAAAACACTGTAATAACTCTGGAAAGGAACGAGCTAGCGAGACACTGCTTTTTGCATTGGAAAGAGGACTTCGGGGGACGTTGAAAACTGACGAAAAAAAAGATTATTTTTTATTTTGATGGTTTTTAAAAATGGTTTTCTGGAAAACTCTTAGGTTTTGGCCGATAGAGTAACATAATTTCGGTTTTGACATGTGTAATATAAACTCCAGACATTTCTCTACAATTCTATGTATTAGGAAAAGTTTTTCGATCTTGCATTCAAAACCAGGCCTTGCTCGCGAAAAGCGTTGAAAGCTATTTTCTGTGAAAAACCATTTTTGAGAAACTGTTGGATTGCAAAATAAATACTATGACGATGATCAACGATGTCGAAAAAGTTGGAATTCACCTTTTTTCTTAGCACATAGGACGAAAATCTCGTTCTTCTGGGCCTAAACCCTATTTTTGGGCTTTTCATGAGCAAGGCCTGGTTTTGAGTGCGAAATCGGAAATTTTTCTGAGTGCATAGGATTCTAGAGAAATGTCTGTGGCTTTTATTACACATGTCAAAACCGAAATTATGTTACTCTATCGCCCCAAAACCTAAGAATTTTTCAGAAAACCATTTTTAAAAACCCTCAAAATAAAAAATAATCTTTTTTTCGTGAGTTTTCAACGTCCCCCGAAGTCCTCTTTCCAATGCAAAAAACCATGTCTCTCTAGCTGGTTTCGTTCCAGAGTTATTACAGTTTTTTTCATTCATCTTCTATTTTGAAATGGATAGTAATTATTCTGTTGAATATGAGGGAAGCTTGAAGAAAGAATAGAAAACATGCTATGTTTAAATAAATTATAGATAAACTATTCGTTTCAATTTTATCGACGAACGAGTCTAAAGAGTACTAACTATTGGCAAATATTAATTCTATGTATCAAAAATGTGAATTTTCTTGTGTGTTCTTTCTGATAATATGATTTAAGTCGAGTCTTATTTTGAGAAATGCCCTCAATGATCTTGAGTCGTTTCTTTTGCATAGATATTATAAGTATTTCTTTGTTTTGACTATGGTTACCGACAATATATGTGAATAAAGTAGCTTTAAAAGAGTGATATTAAATAATAGAAGCATATACTTATGTTCTCTTGTTTAGATATTTATACTGAATAACCTTTATTCGAGAATGTCGATGTCAAAGTCAAAAGTTCAACCACCAATGAACAAAGTAAAAATAATCATTTATGTATTGTTTCAAATTTCTCTAATATGTTTATTTGTGCTGTGGTGAGTTAAATAGTAATAGAATTTGTTAGTATATTGCTCATGTTAAATAATGAATTATATCGTAGACATGATTGTGTAATAAAAGTGTAAAAAGATATTCTTTTGTTTTTTTGTTTGATTAGCCATTGAACAAACGAACACGAAGTCAAACAGATATAGCAGAATTTAAAGATTTAACAAAACGAGATGCTTTAACAAGACTTCAACAATCATTAAATAAACTTGTATTAACTAGTAAATCTCAATCACAAAAAGTTTGTATTTATCTTATGAATTTCTATAATTATTATTTTTTATAAATAATTTTAAAGAATACTCGATTAGAACTTGATGGATATGAACAATTAATTATTTAGTCGTTATTTACTTGATAATACTGATGAACCATCAATTGATTAGCAAGATATTTTACCACCACCAGAAAGTACAGTACGTTCAAATATAAATAAATATATATATTATCTAAATAAAAAATAGTTTGTTTTAGATAATTCCATATGAAAAAATTACTTGAATCGAATATTGATGATGCAAAAGAATTATTAAATAAGTTAATTGTTGTTAAACTTAATGGTGGTCTTGGTACAACAATGGGTTGTCAAGGACCAAAAAAGTGTTATTTCTGTACGCAGTGGTATCCTTTTTCTTGATTTAACTATTCAACAACTTGAAGTAAACTATTTTTATTATCTTTTTTTCTAATTTGAACAATATTATTATTAAATATTTTTCTTTGTTATTGTGTTTTTTTTTCAAGCAACTCAATCGTGCATATAGTTGAGATGTACCATTGGTTTTAATGAATTCATTTAATACACATGATGAAACAGAAAAAATGCTTCAAAAATATAGTCATGTATCTGTTAAAATTTATAACTTTAATCAATCAAAGTAAGTTATTATTAGACTTACTTTAAATTAATTAACAATAAATAATTATTTTATTTATCTCATTTGATTACATTTATTACACATATAATATGTTTATCTGAACAATCGACTCTATGACGATAGAATATCAGCAATCAGAGAATAGACAATTATTTAACTATAGAACTAACGCTGGTTTATTCTCTGTATATCGCATTATATATCGCACTGTCTATCGATCGTTTTTTGTTGTTGTCTACTTCGAATAATATTGGCAAATTAAATTATCGAATAGTTCATATTATCATAGGAAACAAAATAAATATTCTTATCTAAATTATAAGATTTCATAGAATCAGTCAATAACATAAATATGAGCCAATTACTTTCATTTATAAGTAAATCAATAATTTTTTTTTTTTTGAGTTTCTATAATAAAAAATGAACTATTCATAATGATTAAATAAATTTTCGAGCCGGTCACGAATTACTTTAGGACTTAGGATTCGTCCTTAAAAACTGACCTCATTGACCCCTAAAAAAAAACTGTTTTTAGTTAGTTGATAGATATCGTAGTGCTGACCGGAACGATATTGTGCTGAGTGATATGTCGTCCTGCTAAGCACTATGCCATATAGTTCAGTAGAATGTCGTTCCACTCAGCACTACGATATCTACCAACGAACTAAAAAAGAATTTTTTTTAGGGGTCAATGAGGTCAATTTAAAGATGGGATCGAAATTCAGGTCTCCCGTTAATAATAATGATATATGAAAATCTATAAAAACTGATATATTTTTGAGTTTTTTCGATCTGACTCATTCTGAAAATTGTTTCTAATTCTAGAAGACTAATATGATGTTAGATGGCACATCTATTTATATATAGTGATTAGAAAAATAATTTATTTTTCTAATCATTGTTAAGATAAATGTATTATATGATATGACGTTAAATAAAATATAAATGATAATATTTGTCTATAGATTCTATCAAATCTATCTAATATATTGTCCGAATAGAAATAAATTGTTGTTATTAAAATGTTAACATAGATAGATATATTGAATTGAAAAAGAAAACCTATTTATATATAGTGATATCGTGTGATATTGTCTCAAATCTATAGAATATTTAAATTCTTATTTATAATTAAGTAAATGAATATATAATAATAAAATGTTGATAATTTCATTGTTGATATGATTAATATTGAAAAAAAGAAATTATAATTATTATAAAATAAATGTGTTGTTTGTATATTAAAGTAAAAAGAAAACTAAAATATAGATATCCACATATTGATCATGAAACATTGTTACCTGCCCCAAAAACTATTGAGGATTCAGATAATTCATGTTGGTATCTACTTGGTCATGGTGATGTTTATCCATCATTTTATCAATTCAGTTTACTTGATCAATTTATTGAACAAGGAAAAGAATATATGTTTTTAAGTAATATTGATAATCTTGGAGCAACTGTTGATTTATGTAAGAACTTCTTTTTTTTAATATTTTTCAATGAATGGATATTCTTAAACATTTATTAACTGATCAAATAAAACATGAATTGATAATGGAAGTAACTGATAAAACACGAGCTGATGTTAAAGTAAATATAATTAAAATCTAATTAAGATTATATTTCATTTAAAAATGATGGATAGAGTGGAACTTTAATTGAATATCAAGGAAAATTACGTTTACTTAAAATAGCTCAAGTACCTAAAGAACATGTTGATGAATTTAAAAGTGTCAGTAAATTTCCGTAAAGAAAAAACAAACAAACTAGATGTCAATTATTTATAATATTTAATTAAATAAGTTCTTTTAGGAATTTTTAATACAAATAATTTATGAGTAAATCTTTAAGCTATAAAACGTGTTAATAAAGATGGAACATTACATATGGAAATAATTTTTAATCATAAAGTAATATTTATCATTATTTAAAAAAAAATTATTTATTTAAAGACAATGGATAATGGTCTTAATGTAGTTCAATTAGAAACAGCTAGTAGAGCAGCAATACAAAGTTTTGAAGGTGCACAAGGTAATTATTTATAATAAAACTCTTTTAAATCATATAATATATTGATTTTAATAAAAACAAAAAAGCCAGGTATTAATGTTCCACGTTGTCGTTTTCTTCCCGTTAAAACAACATCAGATCTTTTATTGGTTATGTTGAATTTATTTACACTTAATTGTGGTAATTTAGTTATGAATGTTCAATGTTCATTTCCATCAGTACCTTTGGTTAAATCTTGGAACAAGTTTAATAAAGTATTTTTTTCATTTCATTTAATTTAATTGTTTTTTTTTCTTAGAAAAAAAGTTAAAGATTATCTATCTCGATTTCGAAGTATGCCTGATTGTCTTGAATTTGATAGTTTAATTGTATCTGGTAATATTACTTTTGGTAAAGGTGTTTTATTACGTATATGTTCAGTATTCTTAATAAAAAAAAAACTCTATATAATGTATTTTTTTTTGTTAGGGTACCGTCATAATAATAGCCAATCACGGTGATCGTATTGATATTTCAGCTGGTGCTATACTTGAGAATAAGATTGTTTCTGACAATTTACGTGTTCTTGAACATTACATTCATTTTTTTTCGTTTTTTTGTTTGTTTGTGTTCTTGTTTAATCTTGCCATATATTATTTTAGCATTTTATTTGAAATCTCTTTTATTAGTAAACAAAAACACAAAACATCATTTATAATAGAATGCTTAAAAGCATTCTATTATGGGGGTGTGGGTGTGGATGTGAATGCAGTGAATAGAAGAATTACACTCATACCCACCCACACCCACACCTACACCCACACACCCACACACCCACACCCTTCATATTCATCGCGATGTTATGGTGCATGAAGTATAAATAAATCGATTCATTTTGACTCCATGTTGAATATCTTTCTTGAATAAATTGCAACACTCCATTGCTTATTGAATTCTTCACACATTCGACGAGTTTCAATCGTATCATTAGTTTAATAAAAAAACTTTCCCTATGTAACAGTGATACTTTGACGTGTCACTAGGTGATCAGTCGTTGATATAAAGTCTAGTAGAAAACGTGACATCTCTCTCACATTATATATAATTTTTGAAGATTTGAAGAGCATCGCAAGGTTCTATTATCCCTGATGTGTGTCATAAATCAGTCAAGTGGAGAAAGCGAAATCACAGTGGCAATCATAAATTTTGCATTCGATATAAAACAACTAATGGGATACTATGCACACTGTATGGCTTTTCTGTAGAACTCACATATATTTTCGAAGAACATAGTGAGTGTAAGTCTTAAGCTCGACGTTTCGTGGCTCCCCCCCCCCCCCTTCCAGCACATAGCCACTACACCAAAAAAACAAAAAGCCTCACATCGNAAGATTAAGAATTAAAAAACGAAAACTATTTGTTTGTCCAGTATTTTTATCATTTATTTCATATTGATATTCTTTTTTTCTTAAATTTAACATTAAATTTTCAATAGAATATAAATTTTTTCCTTCATCATACCAAACAAGTGGAAAATGTTCTTGTTCAAGAATTTTTTTAACGACTTGTAAACGTTCATCTTTTTTACATGAACGCCATGAACCATCACGAATTAATAATTCAACATCAACATCAAATTGATATAAGATTATTTCATTTGATTGTTTTGAAAAATTTATTCGAAAATGATTTGTATATAATTCAATTTGTTGATCAGCTTATAAAGAAAATAATATTTAATTATATTATAGATTAAAAAAAAAATATTATCATACCACGTCCTGATTGTGATGGTCGTTTAATAATTGTTGTTAATTGTGAATTAGGTACAGCTGAACGAATTGTTGGACGAGTAACTGAATATGAACGTTTTTTCGTATCAATTCCATTTTCAGATGGAGCTTTTGGTACAACATCATAAGAACCATTTTCAATTTGTCCATTACGAGATGCTTTTTCATTGATTATTCTAGTTGAAGAACATGCACGACGTTGAGAATAATCCGATGAAATTTCATCAATACGACTTGTACGAGCTAAAATATAGTTTTATACAAATTTTCTTTTTTATTTATAGACAACTTTAAAATTGTTTGAGCATTACATAGTCAATATTTTTGTCTATTTAATCTGTATCATTTCACAAAAATATTCAAAATTTTCTAATAAAACAAGACTATTACTATCGATTGAAACTTGTTGTGAATAGATCAATCTGATAAGAATATTTATCATACTCAATTTTAATTTCTATATGAGTAATATGATAATCAATGTGAATTTTCGCATAACTCAAAATAAAAATTCTTATTAAAGATATCTACTCATCTATGTTTACTTTCGAATTGTTTATTTGTAAATTGAAATATTTTCAATATTATGAATTGTTAAAAAAACTTTGTGCAAGTAAATAGTTCTCTAAATATATCCAATAATTTTCTATAATGATTTATGTTGATAATATTTTATCATAAGTTACCGAATAATGAAATATTATTTCAGTTCGATTTGACATTTTTCTCATCGAAAGTTTTATTTCTATAAATACTTGATACACTCTATAATACTAAGTAGTATGAATTTTCATCCAAAAATATTTATGAACAAGCATATATTTAGATAAAACTAGAGATCTAGAGTTGTTCACTAAGACAGTATCGAAATACTAGTCACATTTGTAAATTCAACTTTATATCAAAAGTACATTACTTGATAATCTGACAAAGCAAACAAGATAGACTTCTACGCACTATGTTTTACGGAAAATATCTATTGCAAAGCATAAAAGATTTTACCAACTTTCTCTAACTTGCAGGAAAGCTAATGAACTGTTGTTAGGACACTTCCTAAGACATTAAAGACTCTGTTTGAGGTTTATTCGTTCAACTGCGATTATCAAAAAAACGAACAAAATATTTGAAAAAAAATTTTAAATAATAGTTCAGTCAATATTTGAAATGTGCTTTAAAATACGCCGCCATGAAATTCTGCATCGCACGATGTTTCAAAATTTTAGCAAAAAGCATTTGAAAGAAAAACTTTTCTGACAATAATTACAAAAAAACGTAAAAGCTCCGTTTGAAGCGGCTATGGCATTGCTTGTTTTTGACTTCAGATAATCTAAAGATTATTGCTGCTCGGTTTAAATGTTACATCGTTTTGTTTAGCATTAAATTTTGAATCGGATGATATCATAATAAAATGTTCATAGACTACAGCTGACTTTAGAAAAGATGAATTTTGAAGCACATTTAAAACAAAATCTCATTAGTCATTAGTTCTAAGTCGCTTCCACCTCAACGACACTATCAGAGGCATCGAAAAGACTTTCAATAGAAATAAACCAGAAAATTCTCTATCTATTGATGCTAAATACTTTACACTTAGAATGGAACTTGATACGCATAGAATTTCGCAAATCGATAGATACTGAAAGAAAATAATTGGAAATCGCAGATGTATATTTGAATACCTACAAATCTGTTCAATTGTTCGCTAACAAGAAAAATTTGTTTGAAAAACAAGGTTAACAATTGTGTAAAGAGAAAAATTCTCCATCAAATGAAATCTTTAATGTCTTTGGAAGTGCCCGAAAAGCAGGAAGACATTTTGATCCGTTCTTTATGTACAACTCATTATTAGAGATAAAATAAAATTCTGTTCGAAGAATAATTTTTCATTTGTCAATAAATGTCTCTACTCTAAAAACTAATCAAATAATAGTTTAATTATTTCTTACCACGTTTGGAAGAATGAAGATCTCGATCATAATCATCTATGAAGAAGATATAAGATACAAATATTTAAATAATTAAAATAAATATAAAAATACCATCCGGACGATCTCGACTCTTATTTGACAACATTTATTGCAAGTACGAAGTTATTATTTTATCAAACTAAAAAATAAATCAAAGAATATGTATAAGAATAGAAACATTCGTCCGTCTCTCACTTAAAAAAAATATAAATGTTAACTAAATCGTTTATCGATTAAAATGAACGACTATCTCTATTATTTGATTTATAAAAACGTCCAAGACGGACGAGTGATATGAATAGACAATACACGTGTACAGAGGAAAATTTAAGGAGATTCGGCTGCGATGAACAATGCTAAGATAATCTTTCATGCACTTTATGTACTGCATAAATGGGTAAAAAGTCGAGGATGGACGAGAGATTGTCCTTTCTACGATTTTTATCTCTCTCTTTTTCTTCTTTCTCTATAATATTCAAATAAAATGTAAAGTGGCCTAGTCAATGAACAACAAAAGCCACCCAGGTCGAGGCGAACCGTGCGAAACGGCTCGTGACGTTCGGAACGAGTAGTTCGAAACGTGTTCGTCTATAGATGGCGCTTTTTTCGAACGCGTTCGCCTGTTCCGAACGCGTTTTCGCTCCGTTCGCTTTGACCTGGGGCACTTTAAATAACCACAATATAAAGAATAGATATAGTCAGTGGATGATTATAACAAATAATGATAATCTTTGGATACTATATGAAAAACAAATAATATTATACATATGAAATTTTTATTCAAGGTCATTTATATAAATATGATTGATCTTGAAATAATTTAAAATTATTATTTTACACAACGAAATAGATTAAACATTACTTTTCTAAGAATTTCAACACTGTAATCATAAAACAAGCAGAAGAACATAATCTGTTTTTAAATTTGGGTTCAAAATAAATTATTAGAATTTACGTAAAAATTTTATGTGAAGAAGATTTTCTATTAAAGTCTTTTTGATTTATTTTGAATTTTAATGCAAGAGATTCTATGAAATGTTTTCTTAGTAGTTGTTCTACAATGAACATGTTTTCAGATCGAGCTTGATGTTTATATGACTTGATATTTATTACATCATATCAAAAGATGAGACAGCTATGAAATGAATGTGAAGGGGTTGAAAGTACGAGTCCTTCTAAGAAAAATTTAGATTTAAAGAATTCCAACTTGTAGTCATCAACCATAAACAATGATAATAATCGAAATGACTAATCGGAATGTTTAAATACAACAACAGGAAGACAATGTCTTTTTTTTTCTTGCATAATAATATACTTTTTTCAAAATTCATTAATATGATATGTTAAACAAATAAACTCATTTAACTATTACGTATTTATTGTGCACTATTTTTTATTAATCTATTAAGTCTTGAAGAAATTTAAAAAATCATTACAACCTACTTTTTTTTCTCTTATTCTTTCAATGATGCAAATTGCAATAGCTTTAGCTACACTTTTTTAGGTTAAATCTTGACTCTTAAATACTTAGATCATACCAACAGTCTTTGCAGAGCTATATCAATTTCTTATAGAATACTTGAATGACTTCTCTTTTTATATAAATTGATAGTAAAAACAAATTTCTACATTTCTACACTATTTGATCATTATTTATCTAATATTATAATAACAAAATTTCCAATACACTTATTTTGCTATGATATGTAATAATTACATTACTGAGTATTGTCTTCAATACGAGTGTGAATGCAGATGTGAGTGTGAAATTTGCGTGTGAACGTAATACATAGTTACATGCACACTCATACTCAAGTGCATCTAAACCCACGCACATTAAAGACAATATTGACTAATTTTATTGTTACAAACCATAGCTAAACAAATCTAATAGAAATTTTGTTGTTATGATGTTAGATGAATCATGATCAAATAGTATAGAAATGTCGAGCTTTGATTTTACTATCAGTTTATATAAAAAGAAAAGTTCTTCAAGCATTCTATAAGAAATCACTGAAGTTCCGTAAAGACTTTTGGTATGCCCTAAGTAATTCATCAATAGTTTAAAATATAATTATAAATTTTATTTCTTGTTCTTCATTCTGCATCCAATATTTTCATATATTATATTCATTTTGAATTCGGTTATTGAATGCATAGTTTAACTGAAGATGTAATCAATAGATTGTGTTGATTGTCGAACAAATGAATAAGATAAATAATTGTTCGCTTCTACTACGCTCGTTTTTTTTTTATGTAAAATATGTTCAATACTTAATTATGGCTGATCTATTAGGAAAAACCTATCGGTACACCCTCATGTTTATATTTTTGTTTATTGTTAGAGGACAAGATATTATTGAACAATGTGTCATTACAAAATTTGATAAGAGTACGTAAGGTCAATATAAAAATATTTGATTAGAAGTTATTGATAAAAGACTTTCGGGTAAGTGTAGAGAGAAGAATGAAAAGCCTTCAAAATTAGATAAATCGGGAGAGAGAAAGGGGATTGACAAAATTTTCAAGTTTTATTTCTTTTTATTTTGAAGTATACTTTTTCACTAGGAACAAAATCAGCAGAATATGAACATGATGCTGGAATAATTGAAAATTATATTGCAAGAGTAGCTAGTTATTTTGTTAAGTAGTTATATAAGACTATTGAGTGCTATTCGTATTGAAATTCATTTTTTGTTCATGAAAGTCAATTGTGTTAGAAAAAATAAAAACTTTACAATAGATTATAATTTGGTTTGTTCTTAATGCAATGTGTTTTTCTTCATTTTTTTCTTGATATATTTATTTAATGTACTTTCATTAAATAAAAAAGATGCATTTTCAAGATAGACTTTGTCCTACAGTTGGTTTTGTTTGCTTCTACTAAACGTTCTTTACGAAAAACACCTTAACACAATGAAGGTTTCATCTTGAAATATTAAAATTCCGCAAGTACGAGAAAGTACGTGCATTATTTTTCTTGTTTTTTTATACTGTGGTAATAGAAAAAGAATGCCAAAAAAACGGAGATATTTATCTTTATTCTGTACACGTGTCAAGTTATTGATTTTATATTTTATTGCATGAAGTTTCAAAGACAAACAATAAAGAACACAATTGTCACTGTATAGTTGAATTACATTTACCTTAGTTTACTGAACAACTTCATTGAAACATGGCTCGAAAACTTTAGCGTTTAGCAATTATCATCAGTATTTTAATAGTTCTCTTTGCATATTTATTCCATGTACCAAATAACGAAGACGTTCCACAAATGAATCGCATCCGTTTACTTAGTGCATCAATGAAAATAATTAGTTTTATTGTAAATATACAGTGACTAAAAATTGTGTTTGTTTTTATTATTCATATTTAAAACTTTATTTTTTGTTTGTTCATATAGGGTACAATATCTGAAACACTTTGTTTTGCCGCAGCATGGTATGTTCAACGAAATAGTGGTCATGTCTTAAAGAAATTAAAACCAGCTGAAGTTAACGTAGATTTAAAAGTATTATGGAAAAAAATCTTATATTTCATTATTTTTCACGGAGACTTTGAAATATAGATTGAAGATACAACAATTGATGAAGTACCTGTACGTATTTATTCTCCATTAAATTTAAGTCAGGATAAAAACAAATATCTTCCAGCAATTAGTTTTTATCATGGAGGAGCATTTTATATGGGTTCAGTGGGTAAATATACTTTGATTTATCTTAAATTTCAAAATCTTTGAATAATTTATTATTTCAGAAACACATCATCCAATAACACGTAGATTAGCTATTCAGACTGATTTTATTGTTATATCTGTTGAGTAAGTTTAAATTGCTATGTATTTAGGTCTAAAAAAACTAATTAAATTTTCATATAAAGATATCGTCTTGCACCTGAACATCCTTTTCCAGCTGGAGTTGATTATTGTATGAAAGTAACTGAATATGTTCTTGATCCAAATAATGCAAAAAAATTAAATCTTGATTCAAAACGTGTTGCTATTTTAGGTGATTCAGCTGGTATGTTATCATTATTTTTTGTTTTTTACCATGAAAATATATTTATGACTTTTTATAAATTATGATAATTAGGTGGCAATTTAGCTGCTGTTATTGCAATGCAATTAGCTAATAATGCAAATAGTGTTAATGTTTCTCGCATTCAAGTATTAATATATCCTGTTGTTCAATTCTTTGATTCTATGCTTCTCTCATATCTAACATCAATTTTAAATATTTTCGATTTTGGAAGAGCTAGCGCAGCTCTTGAATATTATCTGAACAAAACTATAACTAATGATGTACTTATTAATAATCATACAAGTATTGAACAAAAGAAAAAATATCATCAATTTGTTGATTGGTCATTAATTCTAAATAAGTATCAACAAATATACAAAGAACCAATAACTGATAATATAAATGATGATCCTAAGGTTATCGAAAATACTAAGCAATATTATTTTCAGATATATCATCATTATTAGTTGATAGTGAAGTATTGACTAAATTATCATCAATTTATGTACTCACTATTGATCATGATCGATTAAGAGATGAAGGTTTTATATACGCAGCTCGTTTGAAAGCTAATGAAGTTAATATAGTACATAATCATTTTGAAAATACTTTTTATGGATCATTAACTTTCCTTGAAGGATTCTTTGAATTAGTTATTTCTCATAAAATATTTGCTGATATTGTTGAATATCTAAAACAAAATCTTTGAACATTTAACCTTGTTCTTATGTAGTATAAACAGTATTATCAATGAATTTTATTTTTATAATCTTTAAATAAAATTAATATAATGACTAATTCAAGAAAGAAATCATTGCTCCTTCTTATCATATTACCGGTGAACATGATATGATTAAAAATCAACTTTAATTGAAAATTTGATCAGTAGTGAATTACAGATTGAAAGATCAGAGCTGTATAAGAGAAAAGGAAAATTTTCAGTTCTGACTGATCAAATGAGTTGATTTGGAGTTTAGTCATAAACGCTGCTAGTTCAATCCCTTGCGGGATTAAAAATGTGAAACATGATGGATCTATTGTTACTAATTAGATGGACATCCTTTTGTTTCATTTCCTTGCGACATATTTTTAGCTAACCGTGTATCTGATGCTTTACAACTACAGTTTCTTTGTCACGGTCTATAATGGGTACCAAGGTTGTCTGTCGTGGTCTATGAAATTTCTCTGTCACGGCCAGTGAGGGAGGGGGGAGAGGAAGAGGTGCAAAATTTCTATCCTATAAGCTTCAACACTCCATTTAGATCGTGTTTCAGAAAAACATACTGAAGTCTTTTCTTTATCATGGAAACCATGTAGACAAAGCTTAGTATTCCATGTTGTTATGAACCTCTTCAAATCAATTTTACGTGTTAGAGAGCAAGAAAACTACATGTACAGTATCTTAATTAATAATTTTTGTTGTTCACCGAAAAGCATAATAATAAGCAATCAACATAAATTTTATAAATGATATGGTACTGATAAATATAGAAAGATTTGTTTTTGTGACTAATTGATTTTAAAATGTACGATAATGATTTTTCGAATTCTCACAAATAGAATACTAGTTTTCATAAGGATATTAATAATACTGAATAGAAAGATTTATGTATAAAATTTATATAAAAAAAAAAAAAAAAGATTTGAATAAATTTCTATCCGTAACCATTAAATCATCCGATTTAATTGAATGAAGCACGAATTTTTTGATTCCGTTTGATCATATTTTTGATAGCGTACGTAGTACTTCATCTATGTATATGGTTGTGGATGTGTATTGCAATAGTATTTTATTTTGTATGACATTGTGTTCTAGACGTTATTTCGTTTTACAAATCTAAAATAAGCCTTGTGCATTCTTCATCAGGTTAATTGTGAACGTAAAAAAATCAAATTATTCAATATTATTAGTAGGATGCGACATATATTCATTCAAAAATTCTAATAATTTAATTAACTAATTTGTCTTTCGTGCACGAATATTTAGATTAATATGGCTGAAGAATTTTGTTTTACCGAATTTTGATATTGGTCAGACAAAAAATCACTTTGACCAAAAACAAAATTATTTGTAACTTCAACCTAAAATATTAGTAATTCAATCTAACCCTAACCTATAGGTTTTCTATACGTATTTAATATAAACCCATATCAGACATTGTAGTTTAGGTACGAGACGACGTTTTAGACGATTTATTGCTACAAATGCCTTTCGAGCTTCACGTTCTTCATTAGTAAGTATGAATAATTTTTTTCATTCCAACACGAAAACATTTTATCAAACGACAACAATTACATGAACGACGATATTTATATGTTATTATACAATCACCGTCATGTCAACATCTAAATTCATGAGCTTTTTAAGAAACAAATTTTTTTATTTTAAGAAAACATCAATATCGAAGATTAACTTGTACCAAGTTCAACTGCATTTCGTCGAAAAAAGCTTTACATAACATACCTATTGGCACACCAAATTAATACCAATTGCAACATCACCACATACCAAACATCAATCGTGATCCTGAACGACACTGAGCTGATCTCGGAAAAAATAATGAAAATGATCTCGAAGTGCTTAATTAATAGAAAAAATTATGAAAATGATCTAGTTTTTTTTTCCGAATGCAAAATATGATGAAAAGATCTCGATTACATATGTCCAATAGAAAAGGAAAGTATGGTATCCTAGTTTATGTGCATACTAATAAATAGAGTGCAAAGTGGCAAAGAAACAATAATGTTATATTTATTAATATCTAATACAAAATATATATGAATGTGTTTATAAAAAATCAGTCTTTCGACAATGCATATTTCACTTCTTTTCTTCGTTGTCTGCAATTTCTTTTTCCGATTAATTGTGGAGTTGTTGGAACTTCCCAGATCATCATAAGACCTATTGAATGAATACACGAATATTGTTTCAGATTATATTTACAGGAACAAAATATTGTAGATAACATGTTAGAGAAATTAAAAATTCGTTCAGATTCCAAACACTGTTTGAAATGATTATATGATAATCAAGACATAGAATAAAAATATTGTACCTAAGCACGAGTAGTTATTTGAGGCTCACATGCTAGAACAACAAATGTAAATGCATCTAATTGTAGTATTTCGCTTCGTTCAACTTTATAAATTGTAACATTTTGCCAAATATATGAAATCGTTTTCAGTTAGAATGCTCTCTTCAATCATCTTCCATACTCGTCCCATTGTTTTACGGTTAAATTGATTTTTGAATATTCCAGAAAGCACTTAGGTATATAGTGGATTACGTAGAATTAAACGAAACTTTGCTAATGATGCTCCTCAACCTTTCGCTCATAAACATAACATAGGCCATGTCGTCAGATGAATTAGTTTTACTATTTTCTGCTCATTTTTTCTATTCATCATATGGACAGGTCTCTATGTAACCATATGCGCATATATATGAAAAAATCGAGATCTTTTTCTCTAATTTTCACCTTTTTTCTGTAAATGAGTTTTTTCCGAGATCATTTTCATCATTTTTTCTGAGACAAATTTCATTTTTTCCGGAATTAATTTGTAATAATTTTTCGCTGATAAGTAATGGAAGAGTAATTAGTCTGTGATGAATAAATGATGAAAGAATCATAATTTGTCGAGTAATCTATGGTATAATATATTCTATTTAAAAACACACTAAAAATAGCTGCAAATCAATAATCTATATAAGTCTATGTAGCTCATCATGTTTTAAATTCAGTGTTCACGCACATATTGTAAAATATCTTTCAATGATAAAAAACGATTGTATACATATGCAATTACATAATCATGTATGCATGTTAAAGTGTGAATTTACACAAAAAAATTCTAATTGTATTCGTTACGAAGCTATTTTTAACACGTAGGATATTTTCTTGAAAGCTACACTATTTTCATTATTTTCTTCTTTAAATGCTCATTATCATGTCTTGAAAACTTCGAATAACTGCGTAAGTAGTTAGAGTTATAGCCCTAGCTAAGTTAAGTAATTTTAAGATGAATATATTTTCTTTCAAGTATTGTAAATCAACATTTTCAATTCAATCATCGAAATATAGTCTTTTGATAACTAAATTTGCTAGTTCGTTACAAGTCCTCCATCACTAGNCTCATCGGCGAAAATTTTGAGATCATTTGTGCCTTAATTAAGGAAAATCCGCACATTTATACGCAGTGCAGAATACTTGAAGTTGGCCTACCTTATAACACTATTAGCAGAATTATTCATGATGAACTGAAATTAAAAAAGTTGTGCGCAAGAGGAATATTATGTTAGCTAACATAAAAATGCAAGCAGTAGCGATTAACATATGTCAACCAAATCTTTGCCAAATTGGAAATCGATCATTGGCATCTATGTGATATTATTTGAGAGAAAAAAGTATGGATTTATCATCATCGCATTAATTCGAAACAGTATAATATAGCATGAAGTTCTGAAGACTCAAGCTCAACAACAGTAGTGGTCAGTTGATGTCAATTCGAACAAAAGAATATGTTTGTCGTCTTCTATGGAACAACAGGAACGGAGTTTGGGCACATGTTTAAATCCAGTAACACAATATCTGTTATTTACTACAAAGACAATGTCCTGAAAACTTTGTTTAACAATATTAGAGAAGAAATATCAAAGTCTGGCTTACACACCATAAAGCTACACAACGACAGTACACGATCTTATACAACAAAAGATATTAAAATTCTTCTCCAGAATCAAGCTGTGTTTGCGACAGTTCATTCAGCTCATTTTTCTGACTTGACACTACCTCATTCTTGGCTATATGATTATTTGAAACGGAAATTAGGCACTTATTCTGATTTCAAATCTTTGCAATAAGCTGTAACTAAGTAGAATTGCAACAGATGGAGACTACTCGAACGGATCCAATCTGGTCGATAACCGATCAGTTGAAAAAACTTTTTAAATCAGTAAAGACCGGTGAAGATCGGCCAGACTGAGCCGGTTACAACTCGGTAACGAAGAAAACTACCTAAAAAATAAGAGCAAGTACTTTGACCGTTTAATGAAATAAGATTTTTGAAAACATCATGCACTCAATTGAAATGTACATGTTCAAAAAATTTGTTGGATCATCCTATGGATTTCATTCAATACTGCAAATTAGAACACGTTCGGTCAAAAATTTTGGACTCGAATCTGAACCCGATCGGCTCATACTTTGATACTCTCGATAAAATTTTCTAATCGAAATTCGATAATTACCTCGAAGATACTTTTTTCTAATTCGCTGTATTTGGTGATTAACGCATCCCCTACACATTTCTCAAATGACTAGAGCTCATCGAGTTCAACATTTTTGAACTCGACCGGATCAGGAACCAAATCGACGAGATCTATTAGTAATTCACTTTTTTATTTCAATATGTATTCTAAATACAATATCAAGCATTATAGAAAAAAGAAGCTTCCACCTGTTTTAGT